ATATCAGAGTAGAAAAAAACAGCTGTTTTTTTTTAAATTTATTACTTTTCAAATAATTAAGAATTGCGTACATCTTAAATTATAATAACGGGTGCGGCAGAATAAATGGTCCCCTCAGTATTTTATCTCTAACTCTGTTTTTCTTTCATCCACCAATAGTTATTTTATAGTTTTTCTTGATATCGCTCTATTTGCCATTTCTTAGTAACTTTCGTTGATAGTTTGTTTTAGTTGAGAAGCAATCTGGGTTTACCGATACTCCAGCGATGCCTAGGCTTTCCTACTTGAGTTAAATCGGTAATTATCGAAATTAAAATGTTATTTTAACAAAGGTCACTAAGATATGACAAATAAAGCGATATTAGGAAAAACTATAAAATAACTATTTTTGGAAAGTACTCATCATTTTTTCAAGCGAAACCATTTCGATTTAAAGTACAACGAACGGTATTTAACCAAGAAAAAATAGGTCACTTTGTAGAGAATTTCACGCTGCACCTTTCTATGATAAAATCATGTCATTTGGATGAAAGAAAAAAAGAGTTAGAGATAAAATACTGAGGTGGCCATTTATTCTGCCGCACCCGTTATTATGTTTCGTTTTAATTTGTTCAGTTACATATTGATCAATCGATGAACAATTTTTAATTTTCACAACAAAAGATGGACATCAATTTATGTTTCATAATTTTTTTCTAAAGAAATTTCAGATGTGTTCAATAAAATATCCATTTGATGACTCTATATTATATTCGAAATTTGTTCGATGATTTTCTCCATTAAATGACAAATGTGATTTCAATCGATCTAAGCGAACTTTTTCACAAAAACAATTCAAATCATCAAAAAAAAACTTGGTCTACTTCTTGACGTTTTTGTCACATAATCTTTAGAATTTAAACAAAAATCAATGATTTTTCAACTGAATATTACTTCAAATTTTTATTAAAACGAATCAAAAGCTAGAAAATAATCTTTTATTTTGATCAAACGATTTGAATCATTATTTTTAAAAAATTTTATTTCTTTTTGCGCGCTCCATTGTCACATCCAATTTCAGTTGCCTATTAACTCACAACTGTCCTTGAATTATGAGAGACTTATTACAAAAAAAAAACAAAGCATTCGATGTTCTATCAAAAATATAACTGATTGAAATTTTATTTCTTCATCCAATGATAACATTGTTTGACAGATACGTGTATGTTTTTTTTGTAGAGTGATCCAAAAGTGAGTCTAGATCTCTCAACGATAGAGCTGGTGGCATGCTGACTAAATGAAAAGTAGGAAGATTCTTCTAGTAACATATTAATGAGAAAATATTTTCTCTTATCAGTTTTGTTTCAGAGAAAAACAACAGGACTTTCTGCAAGAAAAGGCGATTCTGTTCTCTTTTTAGTGTGATGTTTTGAACATTGTCTGTTCTATAACTTTTTCGTTAATGTTTTTGATTTACCTCAATATTTCTCTAGTAAATTTAACATAACAAACTTTTTTAAGTTGTAAAATTTTAAGTACTTCTTGAGAGATTTATGCTATGATACAAAATATTGAGTGAGGCTATTTTCATAGATAATTCAAACTGAATTAACTCAAAAGAATTTTTTTCAAATAAAATAAAATTCTTTAAAATTAGACGATCTAATCTGTAGGTCATATGATTTTATTGACCACTTATTATCCTTGTCATATTGATAAAATGGCTCGAGTCTTTTCTATATGTCGGGAAACTTTTATTGTTTACTACAAACATAGAATATCATAAAACACACTACTCAGAAATTATTTTATCCTACTATCATTTTTCGCGCTAATCGGATCAAAAAGTTACAATTCATTGATATTTGTCATTCTAAATATGGTGTGTTTGTATGCATCATTCTAACAAACTACATCAATTTTGTTAATTCAAAATTTTGAATAGAATAAAGAACGAGAGGGTTCTCTTCAAATTGATTTAACAATTGAAAAGCTCATAGCAGTCTTTCATACATGCCTAAACTCATTTTGTACATCTTTAAATTAAGGACTTATGAATATGCCATGATCGCTCCTACCAAAACTGTCATTATTAATAGTTACCTTCCAAAAAACTTTCCATCAAGATATTATTTTGTTCAGAAATCTTCATAATCTTTTTTCTTCAGAAAATCTAGACTAACTTTTCTCTTCTATCCTCAAAATATTTTAATGCATTGAAAATCGTCGAACATTTATTATTAATCTTTTTACAGATTCACTTACAAAATTCTGATTCTTAGTCAACTCTATAAAATTTCGACTGATCCTTTTCATTGGTCCAAAAAACAGAAAGGAAGACTTTGTTTCAAAATTTTCAGTTCACAGCGTATAACTCAACAATGCACTATTCTAACTATGGCAAGACTGAAGATGTATTTACAGTGAGAACTTCACCGACATCCACAATCAAGTGTGATGCATATCTCTCATGATCAAGCACAATAGAGAATGGGTCAAAAGTCATTTTATCGAAAAGAAACCCTTGAGTATCTGCACGATACTTTGATGAATATGAAAAAATAAATAACTTTTTGTAAATTATTCACTGAATATATCCAGCTATTAATAATTAGAAGTTTCAGGAAACACTAAGTAAGAATTGATTGAAGCGCTGATTGGAAATATCTCTTGTTCATTATTTTTGCTCATATGGATCAGACTATTTTCTCATAACTCATCAAAGACTTCAGATTTATATTCATATTAATAGTTATATTTTAAAGCAGTGTTTTCTAACATTTTTCGTAGGAATGTCAATTATGAGTACCTTCTTATTAGTAGTGTAAACATCAGTCCATTTAATCAAAGTATGACAGAGATATTCATGCTTTTCTTCTCAGCGAAGTGACTTTTGGCCCACCCTGAATGTGCAGCATTCTTTACTTGAACCACTCATTAACTAAAAGCAATAAATCTGTTAAGCAGAAATGTCTTTCGATTGTTATTTCACTCAAAGTTCAACTTATTTTTCTCGTTTCTTCATTCACATGATCAGGATATCCATCAAGAGCAGAATGAAAGCAACCGAACTCATGATGGCTGCATTTCTTTTTTTCGTTCTTATCAGAAAAATAGAAAAAATTCACTCTGATAAAAAACAATGTATGAAACAAGATATCCAACGTCGCGCCGCTTGAGACATGGTATAGATGAAAGTCAAACGAAAGTTGGAAAGAATAATGATACACGCAATAACGTTGTTCGATTTTTTCCTTTCGTTCTGTTTGCCGGCAATCATTTCATCTCTTAAAACTCAATGAAGTTTGTTGTTGTGTGTTAACGACAAACAAATACCCACATTTTATGCCGTAGAAAAAATCAGAAGACAGCTACTATATAAAGAGAAAAAGTGATCTGTCTTTAAACGACAAGCAATTATCTACTATACTCGATTGACTTATAAACGACAGTTCACAATGAACATAAGTAAACAAGAATCAAAACAAAATATTTCCAAACTAACAATGGATACGAATCCAAATACAACAGTCCCATCCACTACCATGCAATCAAGACGGTACATCAGTCAAAATTATTTGATCCTTTGGGTCGATGGAAACATTGATCCAGCAAATAAATATTACCAAAATACACTCCAACAACTGCAAAGCATAGCCAATGAAGTCTATATCTTTACACAACGTGATGAATGTGTTGACTTTCTCACTGAAGTCGATAATCAAAAGGCATTTCTCATTGTATCAGATACTATGGGTCAACTAATAGTACCCTTTATCCATGATATTTCTCAACTCGATACCATTTACGTCAATTGCAGTAGCAAAACTACACAAAAAGATTGGAATAGTCATTGGAATAAAGTTAAGGGTATATACACAGAAATGCCGCTTATCTGCGATGCATTGCAAATAGCTGTCAAGCAATGCAATAAAGATGACATATCCGTAAGCATTATCAGTGTAAACGAAGAAGATTCCAGCAAAGATCTCAATCAGCTTGAACCCTCTTTCATGTACTCCCAAATATTCAAGGAAATTCTCCCCGATATGGAACATGGTGAACAAGCCAAGAAGAATTTTATTGAACTTTGGCGAAACGAATACAAGAATAACAAAGTTAAAGCAAAAGATATCGCTGAGTTCGAACTTCAATATAGTGATCAATCAGCAATTTGGTGGTACAGTCGTGAGGGCTTTCTTTATGAGATGCTCAACCAGTCTCTTCGAACGCTCGATGGCGAGACAATTATAAGAATGGGTTTTTTTCTTGCTGATTTGCATCGACAAATTGATAGTGTACACAAACAACAGATCAGTCTTTATCATGGAAAGATCTTTGAAGTTTTTCGGGGACAAGGATTATCCACAGTCGACTTCGATAAACTCCAGAAGAACAAAGGTGGACTTATTTCCTTCAATAATTTTTTATCTACCAGTACAGATCGAGCTGTCTCTCTCGGTTTTGCCAGAAGTGCCATAGGGAAACCCAGTATGGTGGGTATCCTTTTTCAAATGTCGATAGATCCGACCATCTTATCCAGTCCATTTGCCTCTATCTGGGGACTGAGTTATTTTGCTGAAGAAAATGAAATCCTCTTTTCCATGCACACCGTTTTTCGAATTCGTGAAATTCGAAAACTTGAAAATGAAAATTCACTCTATCAAGTAGATCTTAAACTGACGTCGGATGAAGACCAGCAACTGCGTCAACTCACAGAAAGTATACTAGGAGAAGATTCACATCAGCCATATTGGGGACGATTGGGTACATTGCTATTAAAAATAGGACAATATAACAAGGCCGAGAAATTGTATACCACACTACTCGAACAAATATCCAACGACGATACTAGAGCCACAATTTACAACAATCTTGCCGTGCTGAAAGACCATCAAGGACTATACGACGAAGCAGCATCATTTCACGAAAAATCCCTCGAGATCACGCGAAAAACTCTTCCAGCAGATCATCCTTCACTGGCTGCTTCCTACAACAACATCACTGCAGTGTATTACAACATGGGTAACTACTCGAAAGCACTTGAATTTTACGAAAAATCAAATAAAATCCTCGAAAAAGTTTTGCCTCCGAATCATCCCAATTTGGCTACTTCCTACACAAACATCGGTGCAGTATATAGGGACATGGGTAACTACTCGAAAGCACTTGAATTTTACGAAAAAGCACATAAAATCCTCGAAAAAGCTCTGCCTTCAAATCATTCTCATTTGGCTACTTCCTACAACAACATCGGTGGAGTGTATAAGAACATGGGTGACTACTCGAAAGCACTTGAATTTTACGAAAAATCACATAAAATCTTCGAAAAAGTTCTGCCTCCGAATCATCCCAATTTGGCTACTTCCTACAACAACATCGGTCTAGTGTATGACAACATGGGTGATTACTCGAAAGCACTTGAATTTTACGACAAAGCACTTAAAATAAGAGAAAAAGCTCTGTCTCCGAATCATCCCGATTTGGCTACTTCCTACAACAACTTCGGTCTAGTGTATAACAACATGGGTGACTACTCGAAAGCACTTGAATTTTACGAAAAAGATCTCGAAATCACGAAAAAAGCTCTGTCTCCGAATCATCCCTCATTGGCTCTTTCCTACAACAATATCGGTTTGGCGTATTACGGCAAAGGAGACTATTCAAAAGCACTCTCATTCTTAGAAAAGGCACTTGCTATTCGTCAAAAATCACTTCCGTCAACACATCCTCTAATTAAAGAGACGAAAGATAACATTGATCATGTTAAAAAGAAAATGTAAACAGTTGTTTTTGCTTGCTTAATAAATTTATTCACATTGCTAATCGTTTCGATTTTTCTTGGTTCACTGTGGCTAACGCGCGCGCGCGACAAGGGAGAGATCCCTTGTCAATACCATAGGTACCACAGGAGGACCACGCCGGACTGGTAGGGCAATGGTCGAAGGTATGCCGTATGAACGGTAGGGACCAACGACTCAAAGAGGCCTTCCCTAGTACTACACTGCTTCGCTATGGCAAGTAAGTTTCTCTACCTATTGAGTCAGACAACATAGCTTTCTGACCCACACTGATAACATCTATAACTCAACTCATCTCATCTCAAACGTACTCATACTTATACTTATAATGACTGACAGTGTTTATTTTCTCTCAAAATAAGTTATCTCAACTCAGCATGTAAAAAATTTTTTTTTGTTCTACCTCCCAATGTTATATCATATCGTAGCTCATCTAAAAAAGAAAGTATAATTTTAAATATAAAATGAATTAATTTACCTCAAATATAATACAATATATCATTATCATTGTAAATAATATCATAATAATAATTAACCCGGGTATATAAATACATTGTAATGATACAACTCGAGTGTATTGTTTCATGATGATGTGTTCATGTTTTTATACACCCTCAGGTTAATTGATCGATGCTCATGATTTTGATTGATTTTCTTATCAATCATTCAACACATAACATTACATAATTGATTTGATGATCAATTTTTAGGTAGTGATATGTGTATATTTTTTTTTCTCGTCTGACGTACATTAATATTATATCGTCATCGACGAAAAAAATTTTTATCTTATATATACACTGTGTGGGTCGAACACTTACATTTAGAGAAATCAACGATGAGAACAAAGCCTTTAATTATACTTCAAAATTTATCTGTAATATTTTATATGTGTTTTTTTTCATCATACAATGATGAATTCACTCGGTTAAATCGAAGATTAAATTTGAAAATAATAGTTTTTTTCTTGTTAGACTCCTCTATTCTGAATGATAAATGAAAATATTTTTTTCTAATATTCTTTTATTTTTAATTTATTTTTCTTTCATCTTATGTCATAGGATTTTTATTTTTAAAATATCGTCTTCAAAATGATTAAAAAAAATTGACGTCTCTCTATACATGGGAGAGCAATCTAGAATCATTGATCCGATGCTGGAATTCGGTAAGAAGACAGACTTTTCTATTATACAAATATGTACAAATAAATTGAAACTAAATAAAAGGAAATATGAAGTGATATCATCACTTATTGTTTTTGTTTTCTTTTTATAAAAAATTTAAGAAACTTTTATTTTAACATAGTGAAGAATTTCTCAAGTGTACTTATTCATAAAATTGCTTCGAAATATAATATTGATCAATGAATCGAAAGATATTTTTTTATATGATTCATCTTGATATAAGGATCTAAGACAAGTTAATTTATCAATTCGAATTTTGTTTTTCATCAAAATTTCTTCTTTAATTATAAAAACTGATTCATTGAATTCATTAAACTTACTATCATTTTCAATCTTGATGCATCAATTTTGCATAAAAATTATCAAAAGCTAAAAGATTGACACATCTAGAGCATTTATTTCTAAAACATATACAACAAACTATGAGTTATAATGTTATACAATAAAAAAGTTAATCATTTGTGATAAGTAAATGCTCATCTACATGCTTCAACAGTCACGAATTCATCTCAAAATAGTTTCCTGATGATGCAGTATATCATATTTCTGCTCTTTAAACAGTTTAACATAATTGATTCATGTCTTGTTGTTTTCGTTATCAGTTTGCCTTAATTGAATGATGACAATAATTGTTTTGCTTGTTAGAGACCCTTCAAAGTAGATCTTGTTGATAAAATCGATTCGAATAGTTGAATCATTCATGAATTTTTTAATATTTGTGAATGAAGGAGGTAACTACTTCTAGGTTACGTGACAAAGCACTATCTATGAAGTAATGTCATTTGAATAGAATGAAATGAAGTATTTTCTGAGCTTTAATAAGGATCAAACTAAGAGACGATAATGATAATAGTACAACATTTGATGAATATATTCATGTATTTCTCATTATGTTTCTCTCGTATAAAAATCATTCGACAGATATAACAATTCCACCATTTTGTTTTCATAGTATTTAATTTTTTTATAAAAATTCGATGTTGTTTTTTTTTGATTACATGTGAAGAAAGAGGCATTACATAAAAAAGAAAACATACATTCTTCAAATATAGTTTTATTTTAACATGTATTTTGAACTACATGTTTTCTATTGATAATAATTAGAAAAAAACATTTTATTCTCACAGTACGTCAATTTCGTTCATTGAAAAATATCTCTGAATTTTTATAAAATTATGTATAGATTAAATATTTGAATCTGTAAAAAAAAACTTAGTAGTAATAACAAATAAATTAATGAATCACATATTTTTTTTCTCATTAGACATATATACATGGTTTTTTTATTATGCTAGAAAGTGTAAGTGAATCTGTGGAATATGAACGAGATTTAAACAAAAATTGCAAACCTCTTTCGATTAAATGATATTGTCCTTATAATTTTTATGAGAAATTTCTACTAATAAAAAAGCTTTTAATAAAAGATTTATTGATATATATATATATATATATATGGATGTTTTTTTAATATTAATCTCTTTATATATCTTGTTGAGTCTGACACTGCGCTGTTTTTCTTCAACATGAATATAGGCAATTTATTAGTAATAAAAATAAAAGAAGATTACAATAGATATTTTATTCATTTCATCAAACTGGTAAATTGACTGTTAAATCAATTGTCGTAATCAGTTTGAATACGAGATTCTAGTTGCTTTGCTTTTTACTTTGGAAAAGGAACAATGTTTGACCTTTTTACTGTTAGAAAAGAATAATTAAGAAAGTTTATTTACAGGAAAAGATACATTTTCGATTAGAAATTTAAAAACTTGTAATTTTATATAATTATGACCTGATAAATACTGTTGAAAGTTATCCATGCAAATTTTTTTTGTTGAGAGTGAATCGAATGAATCATTTATTGCTTTTGATCGAAAGCAATCTTTTTACTTTTCTTCTTTATCTATCTTTTGTTTCATTTGATATTTAATTGTAACACAGAAGATAACAGAGGAGTGTGAATCTAAAGAGCTCTCCTTGCTAATTGATACCTAAATACTTTAAGGATTTTCATCAAAACATTATTTAGTGCTCATTAAATTAGTTTTCTTTATGTTTCAAACTATCCTCGCCTGCTGGAGGTGTAATAAACACCTACAGGGTCCTATGACTGCATAGTAGAAATGGGTGGCGCCCCCTGGGCTGCCAGTAGCCAAATAATCGTAGTTTTAGGCCAGCCCCCTATTAGTAAGATATAAAACTTTTCTGGCTAACGAACAAAATCAAACCAAATGCATAAATACAAGTAGACCTACATTCTTCGGTAGATGGAATGTGCGATCGTGTCTTCGAAAATCAAAAAGAGAACTTATTGTCAAACAACTCAAGAAACATCGAATTCAAGTAGCAGCAATTAGTGGAACAGCCATGTATGACTCCGGTGTTAATATAATAGGTGATTACACAATGATTCATTCAGGTATATCAAGCAATAACAAAACAAAGCAAGCGCATGGTGTAGCGGTTCTCCTTGATCGACAAGCAACTGGTGCATGGAAAAACTTGGGATCCATATGGGAAGCAATTGATGAAAGAATAATTATGGTACGACTTAAATGCAAACCTGTGAATGTCACACTCATTGCTATATACTCAC